TGAGGGAGTACTTGCGTGGAGGCCCAATGTCCTTCTGCTACCTTAATACTAAACCTATAAATATAGGCACATAGATCTATTTCCCCATCCTCATATAAAAATATATTTGCATATGTACATGCCTTTATTTAGACCTCTATAAATGCCCTTTGCCTCCTAACTCTTTCCTCTATTTTCTTTGACTTTCCTCTTGTTCCACTATCATGCTCAGTCTTCATTTAGGTTTCAGTAATTCCTCTTGGTTGCATTCACCCTACCAGGCCTCCTACACCCTCCTCCCCATTGATTTGGATCATTTGTTGTTCCTTTGTCCCTGGGTTTGTTAACACCACTACCTTTCCCCCCACCTCCCCCTCTCCCATGTCCCCCCGGAACTGTTGGTCCCGTTGTTTTCTCCTCCAGATTGTTCATCCAGCCTATCTTATTTAGGAAGACCTGGGGAGATAATAACATGCAGAAAACAAGACAGAGCAAAACCAAGCACCAATATACAACAAAACAACAACAAAAAACCAATGACAAAAAAACAAAACAAAACACAATAAGAAGCAAAAGCTTGTACTTAGTTCAAGGACTGTTTGTTGGCCTTTAGGAGTGTTTTCCAGTCTAGTCTGTTGCCCCCCACCCTCCCAGCCCCATAGTCCACCTTCAGGATGCTCTGGGGACCTCGCTGTTCCATTCCCTTGCTGTTCTGTTGCACCCCCTTAGTGTTTTGCCTTGGTGTGACAGGATCAGATTGGGCACAATTCCCATACTGTGTCTCCAGTGTTGTCCCTTGTAGGGCTATGGTTCAGTGAGGGACGTCATGTCTCATAGTGGGGTTGGCCATGTGGTCCTCTCTGTGGACTGGCTGCTCTAATCAGGAACATTGTCCTCAAGGTCTGGCGGGCCAGGATGTGCTCCACTTTTTCCTCCTCCCCCTTCATCTGCTCCTGTGTGCTCGTTTAATTACCCGAGGAGCCCTGGTGGCACACTGGCTCCATGCCTGCCTACTAATGGAAAAGCCAACAGTTTAAATGCACTACCTACTCCACGGGAGCCAATACTTGGAGGTCCAAACCCATAAAGATTACAGCCTGGGGAACTTCGTGGGGTAATTTTCCTTGGTCGTATAGAATCACGATGAGTTAGAATCAACTGGGCAGCACACACAACAATTGATAGCTAGAGCACCAAATACTGTAGGGACTTCTCACTTGTTACTTATCATTAGTTCTCCTGTAACTGAAGATCTTTTCCTTTTTGTAGGCACTAGTCTATAAAGCGCCTGGAAGGCGGGGAAAATGGTCTAATCTTGTGTATTTCCCACAGAGCCTTGCAAATGACAGACTATCAGCATATCAGAGAGTAGTTATTGGATGATTGAAAGTCCATGGGAGCAGCGATCACTTTGCCCCCTAACAAATTCTTATCAGCCTCTAAGTGGTCCTCTTCGGAGATCCCTTCAGCTGCATCTCTCACCAGTAGCCTCCTCAATCTGCCCACATCTCCCAGTCACACCTCAATACTACACTGTTTGCAGTTTTGCAAATAAGCCATCTAGTTCCTTGGCTCTATATCTTGTTTATGTAACTTTATCTACCTGGATTTCCCTCTACCTTTCTATCCACCCACTTCTTTTCCTGAATAACATCTTTTCATTCTTAAAGATTTATTTCACAAACTTCCATTATCTTTCAATTCTATTTCCCACTAACTTTCTAAAGACCCCTCATATATGGATAATATAGATAGGTAGATAGATAGAGAGTTCTTCTACCTGGTGCCTGCAGGACCTGAGGTCATATACATAGCCACTTAACGCATTTGTATTCAGCACCTACTCTGTGCTAACAGCAAAGATGGGACAGAAGGCTAGAATGTGGAGCTCCCTGCTCTTATGGAGTTACTGTCAGCTCCCAAGGGGCCACCAATGCAAAGAAAAACTGGGAGTTGTCCCTCCATGTTTCCTCTTCTCTCTCTCTCTCTCTCTAATGCACTGTATTTTCTCCGTTGTGACTTCTTTTTAACAGTTATTCTAATACCAATTTGATACCCATTTCCCCTGATCATATACGAACATTGGGGCTCTGAGGGCTTTTTGCGTATTCATTGTTCTGGTTTATTCCATTTAATGGCTAACTAGATTCCATTATCTATCAATTCCATTTTCCCACGAACCTTCTGACGTGCCCCAACCCCCTCACCCCTGCCTCTTCAAGGCCAGATTTTGAATTTTCTCACTCATGCCTCTTGGTGCTCACAGTCCACTGCTGACTGTAAAAAAGTTTATAAAACCCTAGACCTTGTCACCGATGTTTTCACTTTGAGTGACAATGAAAGTGGGAGATAAGTCACAGGGTATGATTTGATTCTGGCCACGGATCTCAACTTCCTAGGGAGTTCCTGGCAGACAAAAACAAACCAAACCTGTTGCTGCCAAGTTGATTCTGCCTCATGGCAGAGGAGAACTGAGCACAGTTTCTGAGCTGTAAGTTTTACAGAAGAGGTTCACTGGAAGGTTTGAACTGCCAACCTTTAGGTTAGGCGTCAATGCCCTGGCAAACAACAGCATTATAATTCTAAAAGAAAAAAAAGTGGGATGATAGAGGAGTTAATGCTTTACTTACAGGAACTTCAGGAGGGGGAGCTCTTTGAGGGCCTCAGGGTCTATGTAAGTTAAGCTTCTGGTATTCCGAATCTCTCTGTAAATGATACAAGGATCGCATTAACAATGACACATATCTTTCTTCTTCTTCTCTGAATCAAAGATAAAACCACATCAAACAGGCTTAGCTATACATTTGCATGATATCCCTGGGACTGTAACCAGCTGAGAATCAATCTCATAAACTCCAGCTCCTCAGAGAGCGACAGTGACGATCCAGCCCGATCATGTCACTTTGTCTTAATTGAATTCTCAGAGCCCTTTTCTCCCTTTTAGACGTAGACAGAGAAGAAGGACCCACCCAATGGATTGTTGATGACAATCGCAAGTATCCGGCAAGGAAAGCGGTTCTGCAGGGGAATGGAGTGGGTTATATGGTGGATAGAAGCACAGCAATGATGGTGGTGATTTTCTCTTGCCCATTGCTACTTCAGATAAAGCGAGTCTTCACAGTTCACTTGGGGTTATTTTGCAGTGTCAGTAATTTAAGTTTTAATAGTTATCCCACATGCAATGGGATAACCTGTGTGTCTACTGTACATGGGTTTAGACATAGGCTGATCAAGAATGAACAGACAGCACCGTTGTTATTGTTTTTGTGAGGTGCCATCATGCCGGTTCCAATTCACAAGCAATCCTATGAACAACAGAGTGGAAACCCTGCCTGGGCCTGTGCCGTTCCCACAGTGGGTCTTGGGTATGAGTCCATTGTTACAGCCATGATGTCATTCCATCTTTTGCCAGTCGTCCTCTTTTTTGCTGTCCCTTTACTTTAACAAGCATGATCTTGGTACATTCCATTCCATCTGATTGAAATTCCACTTCTCATTTTCCTAGATGCACACTTTCTACATTCCACATTTTGATTATTAATATGTTTACAGTTTGTTCTCATTTTGAGCCCTGTTCTATTTGCAGTCTTCAAAAGTTTACTCCACCCACATCATTTTGGTCAGCTTTAATTTGAGAAGGCAGCTCTTCCTCAGTCATATTTTGAATGCCTTCTGACCTGAGAGGCTTATTTTCTCACACTATATCTGACAATGTTTTGCTGTTATTCATAAATACCCATTAATCTTGGCATTTTGACTTACAAAGTTGAGTCTGAAATAGACCTTAGGCAAAGGGAGGGAAAACCGAACATGGATTTAACTGAGAATCGAAATCATCTCATAGCAACCCTGAGGGGCTGGGTAAAATTCCTCCTTTGGGACTCCAAAGCTTTTCATCTTTTTAGGAGTTGAGAGTTTCATCTTTCTCCAGAGGAGCAGTTGGTGGGTTGGAACCACTGACCTTGTGGCTAGCAGCTAAATGAGCAGCCCACTGTGCCTCCCAGGTTGCTATGAGTTGGAATTGACTAGATGGCAGTGAGTTGTTGTTTTTTCTTTTTGGAGAAATCTATTTCCATACATCTTACTGTCTACACTGATATAGACTCTATTCCATTGTCTCCATTAGCATAATTTAGTATTCCAGGAGACTTGAAAAGAACTTTATTATTATTTACTGGACTTTCTCAAAAGATCCATCAAAGCTTATATAGAAAGTATCAACCTTTGACATCTCTATCCTTTGAACCCTTCCACTCAAAATCCTTGCCTGATGGTGTCTGCTGTAGTATTCTATCACAATCATTAGGAATAAGTTTTTCCTTAGATAGCTGCTCTCTATACCAAAGTCTAAATTGTGTCCCGTTTATAAACTGAAAGCCTCACAGCCCTCTGCCCTGAGTAAAGTTCACAACGATTGTGCCTTGCACCTCTGAGAGACTTCAGCCTGCTCTAATGCTGCTTCCTTTCTCTGTGGTGGGCAACACACTCCTTCCCAGAATTTTCGATTTGGGGAAGAGTGTTCTAGTTACGGTTAGAAACAACCAAATATAAACTAGCCAGTAGAGTTCAGAAATCCTCTGAATGGAATTTGCATTCGGGAATGTTTCTCCACAACAGAGAATCGTTGGACCAGCAAACCTGAGTAATTGTCCCCAAAGAATATCACAAGCAGAGTGCAGCCCCGTGGCGTCAGCTTCAAAGGTTCCAAATGAAAGGGACACAGAATACTGCTCTGGGTCACAGCTGTCCCAACGAGGCGTCAGCCTGGAGTCATGGCAGCCAGACAGAGGGGGAGACACCCAGGAGGAGAGGGCTTTGTGGAGGGAAAGGAAGAAGAAGAAGAGAGAGAAAGATAAACAAGAGATACCACTAAAAGAACATATTTTTGCTATTGCAGTTGCTATTGAGTTTATTTTGACTCATAGCAACCCTAGAAGCAAACTCCTTGAGCTTTTAGGGGGCAGTCCTCTACTACCCCGGTGGAAAAAAAGTCTTTTTCCCATGGAGCAACTTGTGGGTTTGCAATGTTGACCTTTCAGTTGGCAGCCAAGCGCTTAAATAGTGCTTCTCCAGGGCTCCTCTCAATCGCCTTACGAGTACCTGAAAATAAAATCTGCTGAGTGAAAGAAGACGGGCAGGGGAAAGTGGGCTGCCAGCAGTTTCCTTCAATGAAGATAAATGCAGATGGTATAAAAGCTTCCAAAAAGCAAGCAAGGATTTGTGGAGCTAAGGAACCAAGAGTTCTGGTCAAAGAAAAGAAAAGAAAAAAAAAAAGACAGAAGAGTTGCCATCAAATAGACTCTGACTCACGGCGACTCCCTGTATGTCAGAGTAGAACCGCGTTCCATAGGAGTCTGTCAGAGGGAGAGTGGCAGGTCTTTCTTCTGAGGGGCTTCTAGGTGGACTCCACTACCCACCTTTGGGTTAGAAGCTAGCATCACCCCATGGGCTCTTCTGTAAAGAGAAGGTTGAGAGAGGAGTCCAAGTTTGAAGGAATGCCAAGCATGTCTGGGTGGATGAATTTAAATCACACCACCTTGAGTTAAACACTTGTTTACAATCCAGCACCCAGGAGGTTAGGTTTACTTCCAAGAAGCTAAAGAGCCTATAGAGGGCAGACCTGTACACAAGTGTGGCTCAGCAGGCTGGCAGGGAGAGAGGTCTTCCAACAGAACTTCAGAGAAGAGCTGAGAATAGTGGCTCCTTCAGTAACTTGGACTCTTGGGGCAGGGCATGAAAGAGGGCCACTCCATCCTGTTCTATTTAGCAGGAAATAATCTGTAGTTAGGTTGGACCTGTTAAATATTTTTGACTCTTTCTTTTAATAAATAGTCTTTTCAAATAATACAATAATAAGAGACATATTAAAATTGTGTGTGTGTGCCATCAAATAAATTTCAGCTCATAAATTCTCTATAGGACAGAGCAAAATAATCTTATAGGGGTTTCTAGGCTGAAACTTATAGGGGGACAGATCACCAGATATTTTCTCCTATGAAGTCTCTGGTGGATTTGAACCTCTGACCTTTCTGTTAGCAGCTGAATAAATGTGCTTAACCACTGTGCCACCAAGGCTCCTAGCCCAAACTCTCCAAACGAGAAACATACTCTTAATCACGATACGTTCTAGTAGATAGGTTTGGAGCAAAGAAAAGTAGACATTTCAATTTTCATTAAATATTTTTCAAAAGAAAAAAATATAACAAGATGCATTGTACAATGCCAAATGGCAAAAAGCTAAGCGGCACCTAATTTATATAACCAAGTTTTAAAAAGTGCCGCGCCAGATGTGGTGTGAGATTAGTTGGCTATATTAAGGAAATATTTAAGGATCTTGAAGGTTATTGATTGGAAACGCTCCACTCAGGAAGATTAAAGGATAAAAAGGGCCCGAGTTCACGACTTATGATCTGGGACCGCTCCACCAGGGAGGAAGTGAGTGAGCCGGCTGAGGGGAGGTAGACGCTCATCTTCAGTGGCAGGCTGATGGCCTGTCTGTCCCGCCGCTAGAGGCAGCCATGAGCCCCCACCTCGGACTTATTGAGGCCAGTATTGCTCATCTTTCTTTTTCTCAGTGATATTGAAAAGAGATAAATCCGTTGCCTCTGAGTGGATCCTGACTCACAGCGATTCTTGGGGCCGAGCCACACTGCCCTCACAGGGTTTCCAAGACTGTTTGGTCTGAACGGGAACCTACTATCCCTTCTTTCTTCCACGACACAGCTGGTGGGTTCAAACCGCAAACCTTACCGTCAACAGCTGGGCTTAATCAGTGCCCCACGGGGGCTCCCTCCAGAAATAAGAAGAAACATAAATACCCATTATTGTTTGTTCCCCTTCATCGGATTTCAAATAGCACGACTCTTTAGAGGAGAAGTGTGATCGTGATGCCCAGCAAGTGGTGTTGGCCTCACAAGTCAGCTGATGGATGATTGGGCAAACATTAAATGGAAGGGGTCAAGGGTTTCATTTTCCTTGGCCCCATGGCAATCAGAGCTGGTGGAAGAGGGCGTACTGGATGGAGGCAATCTGCACATGGCCTCTGTAAAATGTTGAAGAGCCAAAACTCACTTTGAGGATTAAAGTGCAACTGACATAAGGCATGGTGTTCTCAGTCACCTCATATGGGAGAGCCGAAACTGGACCACGAAGCCCCCGGGGAGAATCGGTGCATTTGAATGACGATGTTGGCAAAGAATATTGAAAGTGCAAGAACTGCCAGAAGGCCCAATAAATCTGTCTTGAAGAAAGGAAAGAATTGTGAGAAACAGAGGACTGGGAAAGAGTGTATGCGGATGAATTCTTTGTTCTCATATTTTAAGAAGCGTGGGAGGCCAGGATTCTGGGTGAAGGGAGGCCTTCGCGCTTGTGAGTTGGAGATGAGTCCCAATCATAGTCTCATAATTAAGATTAATCCCCACAATATCCTCCCATAATAGTGCCGCCTTAAAGTAGCGATCTGGCCAACATCTTTATCTATCGGAGCAGGCATGTTGCTACTGCTCTCCCTGCTCAGGGGATGGTCACTCCCCCTTACTTGCCCCCAGCACTGGTGTTAGGGTTAGGGAGCATCCCACTTTGTTACGTATGTGGTTACCTGTGATTAGAGGGGTTTGCATGCCCCAAGAGTATATAAGGTGATGTTGAGAATATAATCTCTCTCTGCTGAGACCTGGTTCTTGAAGCCATGGAGGAGGTGAACAGC